AGCCATTTTTCGCAGCCCACATTTGCAGGGAATAAATCTCAACAGCCTCTTCTATAATCCCCTGGAGATTATGTCCATCCCGAGAAAAGGGGAGGCAAAGCAGGTTAAGACAGCACTAGGCCTTGCTAGGGTCACTTTGCTGAGAGGGGTAGTTTCCAGCTGAACAGCAGGGCCAGAGCTGCCCCCAGCCCCGCCTCACTCTTGCCCTAGTCATCTCCTTCATCACACTAGTCAGCTTCCACACACTCTCTCCTTTGCCCAATGAAAGAAGGCCTGGTGAAGGATCTGGGGTTCCTTGAGTTTCCCAAGGACTACTTAGGGTGCCCAGCAGGGTAAGGACAGCCTTAAAGTCCAACCTGGCAGTGACGCCCTCCCCCCACCCTATGTTGTTCTGTTCCCAAGGCCCACAAGGAACCCTGGGGGAGAAGCAGCAGGCTGGGATTGGTGCTGGCCTCAGGGCCTGGGTCCTAGTTTAGTCCAGCTCCCCTCAACACAAAAATAAACAGGCAGAGAAACGATCTGGTCAGGTTCCCAAACTCCCGTGGTTCCCTGAACCCCTAGTCTTTAAAGAGGCACACCCCAAGACACCAGGCCTCAGTGCTGCCCCGGCGACTGGCTCAGGTTCCCTTGACAGACCCTGCCAACGGAACCCTCCCCAGTTCTGGCACTCCCTTCTCCAACCTAAAGGCCAACTCTGGCCAAGATAGTCCATCTGGCTGCGCCCCCAGTCCAACCCTTTCTGGGCCCTGGCCGGGCGGACTTCACTCACCTCTTCACAGGGCGATCCAGAAATCCTCATCCGAGAACATGGCCAGAGCCCGGGCCGCTCCCCGACCTCCAACCGCCAGAGCGATCACAGCCGCCCCCCGCACGGGGGGGCCTAGGGGGGCCAAGAACGGTAAATCCAGGTCGGAGTGGCCACCCTCCCCCCTCAAAAAAAGCAAGAAGCCAAAGGAGGGTTCTCTGCCTTAGGTTCCAGCAGTTTAGGTTTCCATGGACAGCCCCAGGGCGGCGAATCCCGAGCGGACACAAAGAGAGCACCGGTGGCTTTGATCTTGGGCGAGCAGGCTCTGCATCCGCGTCGCCGGGCGGCCTCTCAGTCCCAGGGCCGGGCCAGCGCCCTGGCCGCCCGCGCCGGGTTCGGGCAGAACGTCGAGGCTCTCCAGATGGAACGTCGAGGCGCCTCCCCAGCAGCCCGGAAGGAATGCCGCACCGCCCAGCGCCGGGCCCGGATAGAACGTGAGACCCTCACAGGAGCGCCGAGCCCTACTCCCCGCCTGGGCCGGCGCCCCGGGGCCGCGCGAGCTAAAGCGACGCGGAGCCGGTGGGGCCGCGGGGCTGAACCTGACACACACCCAGCGCCGGGCTCCTCGATCCCGAGCGCTCGCCCTCGGCGGCTTCGAGACCCCCACCTTCTGCTCCCCCCGGGGAAGGGAGGAGGGTAGGTGGGCGAGGAAGAGGAAGGGGCGGGCGGTGCGAGCCCTCTGCCCGCTCCCCGCCGGCCGCTCCAGGCCCTGCGCTCGCCTCCCTTCCCCTTCTGGCTTCAGGAGCTGCCCCGCCCCCGGCCTGGCTGGCTCTGATCGGCGGCACCTCCTCGACCCCCAGCTGGCTGTGATCACGGGGGGCCTAGAGGTGCATGGCCCAACCCCGGCTCCCGGCGCCGGGGGCTCAGGAAACTGAGCGGAAAGTGGGGAACGAGGCAGCCATTTGCAACCGGAGAGGAAAGTAGTGCAGCGCGGCGCCGCTCCGCCTCCCCCCCTCCGCCTCCTGTTCGGCCGGTAGGGTGGTTCCTGCGAAGGGGCTATTTCCTGGCCCTGGATCTCGGCAGCGGTCGTGGAGATTCGTGAAGCCTCCGGCGCAAGATTCAGCGAGACCTTTTGCCTGGGGAACCCCACTCGAGAAGGGGAGAAAGGAGAAGACACGGCCCTATTTTGTGTTGGAACGGAGCGGCGGAGGGATACGGTCCTCTCGGACGAAAGGCTGTGACTCTGCAGTTCTACGCACACTCTACGGGATCCCTCCGCCAGGGGTTAACCCCGACTGCGCCGGGCCGGCCGCTGTGCAGACACGTGGGAATGAAGCCCCCCTCCTTTCTGCCCCGGTCCTGGAACTGTCTCCTGTACTGCTCGAGCCGTTAAACTAAGACTCCTACCACTTTCTAATCCGTTCCCTTGGAGTCATCGGTTCCTGAAACTCCAATTGCTCCCTTGCCTTGTTCAGGGGCAATCTTTCCCGGGAGGGGGATGGAAGAAGAGCCAGGAGATTGGCCGCTGCTCTGCATCCTGGGAACTGGAGTCCGCAAATGGAGAAAGTGAGGCACGGAGCCTGGCGCTGCAAAGGGTGGGTTCTTGCCACGTTCGGGGGGCGAAGAAAACCGGAAAGAGTCCCTAGTCGTACCTTCTGGTTCCCAAACCCCCTCGTGAGAGGAAGAAGGGCTGTCAGTGGCTCCACAAGTCACCACTTAACACCACTTAATCAAAATATAAATGTAGAGCTTCCCTTCCTTTTCTGGGCACCCCCCCACCCCCACCTTGTCTTTCTCTCCGAATCTTCAAGGCCTCTCTCCATTTTTTAGTAAACAGGGGATGTTCCTTGGAGACTTGCAGCTACTTGGTTTATACTGTTATTCTGGACAGGATCCCAAAACACACTCCTTACAGGCAACCCTCCCTCCCCTCCCCCCCCATACGGCTGGATGAGCTGGATGAGAGAAAGGGCCCGTGGAGTGGGCAGGAGGCGACAAATTAACTATGTACTAGATACTTTACATATTCTTAGTTATTCCTCACCCTCACGATAAATTACATGGGAGTATCTCCATATTACAGATAGAGTGAGGTGAAAATTCCAAAAGAACCACAGCTAGTGAGAAGTTGAGCCATAATTCAAAGGCCATGAGTTTCCTAGATTAAAAAGTAAATGTAAGGTGGATATTAAGGAAGAGGCAGACAAATTTGGCCCAGGGCTAGTTTTGGGTGAAAGGATTTGCAGCACTAATATCCACTGTCCAGTATGGCAACCATTAGCCACATGTAGCTACTGAGTGCTTAAAATGTGGACTGTGCAACTAAGGAACTGAATTTATTTTAACAAAGTTAAAAGGCCATATGTGACTCATGGATAGTGGATAGTGCAGGAGATCTTCATCCCTACTGTGCAGGGTCATGGGAGGCATGTCTTCTGCTAGTCACACACTGGCACCATAACTGCACTAACCATCCAGGTCTATTTCAACAAAAAAGTCCAGCAGTGACCCCCACACCTGTCTCAGACATATTGGAACAGTTAACCAAGAGACAGAAGTTGGGAATTTGAAGACCCTTCCCGACTCTTGCACTCAGAAGCAAAGACAGGCAGCTGCTCACCAGAAAGAGCTCCGATAATAACACTGATAGACACTGTATCTCAGGGGCATATTATAGGCTAAGAATTAAATATATTACCTCATTTAATTCTCACTCAACTCTATGAAGCAGGTTTAACCCCTTTATAAATGAGAATCTGAGGCTCAAAGTTTTAAGTGACTGCCCAAAGTCACACAGCTAAGTTCACTATTTTCCAACCCAGCTATTAGCCACTTATTCTTCACCGCCACTAGGCCTTCAGATGCATATTGATACTTCTGGAAAACCTCAGTTGTCTACAAGTCTACCCTCGACCTCAGGGAAATGGCTCATTACAGGGCAGGCCCCTGTAATGAGTGAGTGTCCCTGGTCAGATGTGCAAAAGGATCTAAACTGAATATAGACCAGGGTGGAGGCAGCCCTAAAGAGAGTCCTATGCCACTGAGATTGCTCTTTGGAATATGCTTCTTCCAGCAGCACTTGTTTCTTTTGAGACTCTGGATCACAGAAACAAAGGCCACTGGCAGGACTTTTGAAAATCAGCACAACAAACCATCCCCCCTAACCGTAAACTTGAACAGCCTGGAGGTAGGCACTGATAAAGTTACAACTAAAAGCACACCTAGGTATGTCCATCCATCCCAACTAAAGGCATTGACAGAGTGCCACAGGGACTCAGTTTCCTTCAGTAGGCAAGAGAAGTCTATGACCCCCTTGAGAAAGTATCATTCAGGTAATTCTTACGTCATTGGAAGAAATATTAGGCCAGTTTAGGCTGTAGGGCTTGGGGTGGTGGTGATAGGGATTGGAAAAGTAGAGGCAGATGGGACCAACCTTCCAAGCTGAAACATTATCCCAATTAACTGAGAGGGCAGGTCAGTAAGAAAAAGCAGAAACAATAGCCTTTGACTACTAAAAAAAAGTGGCACAACTCCAAAGGTATGAAAAGATCACCAAAGATATAAAAAGAGCAAATAACATCCATTTTAATGAAAAACCCTGGGGATTTGCAGGTGGAGAAAGAGACTGACATATACTCAAAAAACCAAACTCACTGCTGTTGAGTCAGATCCACCTCACAGCAACCCCTCCTTGAGTTTCTGAGGTGGTATCTCTACGGAAGTAGATTGCCCAATCATATACTAGGGGCATTAATTCTTACTTCACTCCTCGACTCAACTCTCTTTGGGAGCCTAAATCTTCACAACACTTTAGTGCTTGCCTCCACACTCCTTAATTTTTCCATTATTAGGAATGAGGGGCTTCTCTACTCTCCTAAGTTCCAGCAAATACCTACCCCAGGACAGAAGCTAGGTCACAGCATGTGGCAGCTGACCACTAGAGGGCGGTGTTTCTGTAGTTAAGGGAATTTTGAGAACCAGAGGAACTAAGTATATCATCTACCTATAACCATGGATGGGAGTGGCAGCCAAGTGATAAGTATACCTGTGTAGGGAGAAGCCAACAGAATAAAAAGGTAGAAAAGGCAAGTAGTAAGTGTTAGGGTAATGGTCCTGAATGAAGTGTAAGGAATAGGAACGAAGTGGGAGGAAAGCATTAGCCCTGATTCACCAAAAAGATCACTGCCTGGAAAAGGAGAAAGTAAAGAATGATATTGGTTCTGAGCTCTCCCCAGACACAAAGAAGTCAACAACAAAAGATTTCTCAGTTTATTTGCATATGTACATTGTCACCAGAGGGAACCAACCACTTCAGGAGTCCCAAGGTCCCTTTACCTAGCCAATATCTAACACCTACACAGGAGGTTGGGTGCTGGATAAACAATGCCCAGGACTCAGGTCCAAATGCTGCAGGCTATAACAGAACTCATTAGCCAAAAGACAGGGCTAGAGGCCAGTGCCCATGAGACATTCGTGTCCCTTTGTAAACATTGACACCCAGGCCGCTGGAACCTGGGAGAAGTGTGCAAACATGAGGGTACCAGACTGTGTGCCCAGAGGGCTGGGAGCACAGCTGGCAACCATACCCGTGAAGTCCTGAGGGTATGCCCCACTAGAGCCTGGCAAATGCCAGGAGCAGGAACAAAGCAGTTACCCAATGCCGAAAGGCTCACATGAGACGGCAGTGACGCTCTTGGCTGTAGGAGTTCTCTACACGGGCAATCTCCTGGATGACTTTGGTGAAGATGCCTTGAGTCAGCTGCAAGGGGTAGGAATTCAAGGCAAAAGTCAGTCAGTTCATATGCAGCTCTGAGGTGAAAACTCCTTACCCACCATCCCTACCACTAAGCAGTGCCATGAGGAAAACACTACTACTCCCTCTACCTACCTAATGTCCAGCTCAAGTACCTGATTTTCTCGAGCCGATGACTCCATAAATGTCGCACCCCAGGACTCTGCCAGCTTCTTCCCTTCAACTGCTTGGACCTCTCTGGAAGCAAATTTGGACAGGAAGATAGGAGATAGCAATGTCGCCACATTCTTTGCAAAATTAGAATTTAGACCTCTTTTGACCCACTACACTTTCCCAAGGTTTAGGAGGAGGATTGAGAAAGAAGTACAAGTAAACGAAGTGAGGAGTGAATGTAGGACTGAGGCTTGTGGGATGCTGGCTGAATGAGGGGAGCTAGGGACTCCTGGAGTGAAGCTGGCTCCCTGGGAGTGACAACGTATATATACAAATCAACTGAGAAATCTTTTTATGTTGACTTCTCTATATCTGGGGAGCTGAGAACCAATATCAACCTCTTCTTTCTCCTTTTCCAAGCAGTGATGGCTATGGTCTTTTTGGTGGTGAATCAGGGCTAATGCTTTCTTCCCACTTCTTTCCTATTCCTCACACCTCATTCACTCAAGACCATTACCTTTCCTTGGTACACTATCTGAAAGTATGCCTTCTGAGATAGAAGGATTATCTCATCTTTACCCTCAAGTTAGAAATGAAGAGAGATGAAATGATTTGCCAAAATTTATGGCAGAAGCAAAAATAGGGCCTGGGTGCTTCCTAGCCCAACTCACTTTCCCTTACCCCAAGGAGTAGAGATTCACATACCTGGCTGGTGAGAGATCCGCCTTGTTCCCAACTAGCACCACTGGCAGCCTGTGAGGAAACAGCAGACACTATAAGATCCCCTTTCATTCCCCATGGATGCCAACCTCCCTCACCTCAGGCTGAAAACTCCCCATCAGCCCATGCAGTACCTGTGTTCTCCTAACTTGGACCAATTCTCCCCTCTGCTCTCCTCCACGCCCTCCTGTCCACAAGATGTCACTATCCCCCAGGATCACTTACCGGGTTTTCCCATGGCCTTCATGTAGCTTTTGGTACAGACTCTCAATGACTTGGAAGCTTCAAACACAAACATGGAACTGTAACCTTAATTCTGGGACAGCCCACATGTCCTCCCACATCCCCTACTCACAACTTTGGTCACTTACCTATGCTGAGAGGTGACAGAATACACAAGCACATAACCATGGACCCCAATGATGAATGAATAGGGCAGAATGCTGTACTCATCCTGACAAGAAATAGAAACATCCATACCTAGATCTACACCATTCAGATGGCAAAGGCTGGTGGGGCTCCACCCCAGGTACCTTCCCTACACCAGTGATTTCTGTTCAACAAATATTTATACATAACTCCAAGGAGCCCTGCACATGGCCAGCTACTAAACTGCTTTACTTTTAATACTACTGTACAAATAAAAGAAGTTCTGGTGGCATAGTGCTTAAGGTATTTGACTGCTAACCAGAAGGCTGGTGGTTCAAACCCAGTAGTCACTCCTTGGAAGAAAGGTTGGGCAATCTACTTCCGTAGTGATATTGCCTTGGAAACCCAAGGAGGGGGTCGCTATGAGTTTGATCCAACTCGATGGCAGTGAGGTGTTTTTTTTTTTTTTTTTGCAGGGGGTTTACAAATAAGCCACAGAGACTACAAGACACTTCCCAAGGCTGAACTGCCACATTTGGCACTACCCCAACTGGTACCTGCCCTGCTGTGTCCACCAGGTGTAGGTGAAACTCATCTTTGCCAAGAGTCACTATCTTGCTGTAAGCTGAAAAGAAAAATTGACCATGAGGCACCTTGTAGGACTAGCAATATGTGCCCCAATACATTCTTAACCCTGTAGACAATGCACAAGAAACTGATAAGATAATGTCTACAACTAAACCATCCTGGGAGCTCTGGTAGTGTAGTGCCTAAGGCACTTGACTGCTAACCAGAAGGCTGGCGGTTCAAACCCACCAGCCACTCCTCCCAAGGAAAGGAAGGTTGGGCAATCTACTTCCGTAGTGATACTGCCTCAGAAATCCAAGGAGGGGTCGCTATGAATCAGGTCCGACTTGACGGCACATAACAACAGCAAACCATCCTAGACACAGCATCTTTCAAGATCCAAACTCTAGCTCCACTTATAGAATAGGGATGTTTGCAAAGGACTTAATGTCTAATTAAATCAGCCCCTTGGCACCGAGAAATTTCAAATTATCCAGTTAGGTGGACCTCACATTGCTGTCACACTAAGGGAGAAGTTTACTCACTATTCTCCACTGTAGGATCATAGCCTTCCAAGAACTCGCCTTCCACAAATTGATGTGCCAAAGATGTCTTCCCTGTGGAGAGCAGTAGTAATTGTATCCAAATCTCCCATTCAAATTCACATCCTCTGTCCTTTCAATCTGTGGCTCTGAACTAATATGGGACCCCAAATTAGCACCCCAGCCTGCGAGTACCTCACGAATACCTTCCCCTAGCCTACTCCCACCCTCTTTTGGTCCAGGGTCTCGGTACTTTCCAAACGAAACAATCAGCAGCGCCGCAGGAAGCCTTTCCTGTCGCTTTCTCTCCCCCAGGAGATCCAGCATTCCCTAGGGTTTAGTCGGCCCCGCCCCAAGGCACCTGCGACCACCAGCCCTACAAGACCGCGCCCGGTGCACCAAATCCAGACCCCACTCCCACCCCCAACGTAATGGAGGGAACCACTCTACTGTTCCTGCAGCCAAACCCACATTAACCCTTGCATGTCCCCAGTCCCTGCAGCGGCCACCATCCCACCCCATCCAGCTTTTCCTTCTCCACCCTTTCAATGCTTGCTCTAAACTACTGTTCGTACGATGCCACCATTCCTCCTTGGGTAGGGCGCCCCCTCTGGCCACAAAACCGCGATGCGTCTGTGCTCTCTCTCATCAAGGCGGAGACTCACCTACAGAGCGGTATCCGAGGATGACCACCTTCCTGTAGCGGACCAGCGGCATGGCAGGAGCCGGCCCCGAGGGGCCGAGAAACCCCAAAGAGGAGGAGCTCAGGATGTAGGCGGGCGCTGCAAGCGTATATGAAAATTGCTAACCCAGAAGCTCCCAGGGCCAAGCAATAGAGAAACCAAAACAAGCGCCGCGCCCGGAGCCGGCCACGTGATCACAACACAGCACGACTAACGCGAGGGAGCCGGGCGCCGAGGGAACTACACTGCCGCGCTGCTTCGAGCTCCGCCCCCCAGGTCGCTCGCCATTGGTCCATTAGAAAGAATAAGGGCGGGGTCTCCCGCAGGAGGGAAGGGTGGGTCTCACGTGGAGCGGGAGAAGCGGTAGGTGCGCGTGCGCACACTGGAGCCGGTTCATTCATAAAGAAACAGAAAGGAACCCGGGGTCCTAGAGATATTTGCGCAATTTCAACTACCAAAGTACCTACGAAGAGCGGTGGATGGGAAGTGCTCGCTATGCCTGGGCTGGAGTTTCGGGCCTCCCTTTTACAAGGCCACTAGGGTCTTTGTATAGGGGGAAAAAAGGCCAAAATTTCAATGTATTCCTTCCTGTTCCCCTAGCTTTCAGCCCCAGTCTTTTTGTTGTCAGGTTTCCCCAATCTTCCAGGATCTAACTTCTGAACAGCAATTCTTGTTCTTGGGGAAGTTATCAGAATTTGTGACCAAGTCGTCTATGGTATCATTACCATCATCGTCTTAATCATCAATACATTTATTCAACAAATATTTATTTAGCTCTATTTGATGTTCCAGGCACTCCTTCAGGTTTTGAGGACAAAGTGATGAACAAGACAGAAGATGTTTCTGTTGTCAAGAAGCTTAAAACCTAGTTGTTGTTGTTATGTGCCATCAAGTTGGACCCGACTCATAGCGACCCCTCCTTGGGTTTCCGAGGCAGTAACACTACGGAAGTAGATTGCCCCATCTTTCTTCCGAGGAGTGGCTGGTGGGTTTGAACCGCCAGACTTCTGGTTAGCAGTCAAGTGCCTTAGCCACTATGATACCAGAGCTCCCTAAAACCTAGTGGAGGAAGGAAAATATATAAACAAGGAAATCAGATAGTATTCATTGCTGTCCTCGACAACGTCAATATTTTCTCTGTTTATCATGATGTTGCTTATTGGTCCAGTTGTGAGGATTTTTGTTTTCCTTGTGTTGAGGTGTAATCCCTACTAAAGGCTGTAATCTTTGATCTTACTCAGTAGGGGCTTCACTCTTTGCTTTCAGCAAGCAAGGTTGTGTCATCTGCATATGGCAGGTTGTTAATCAGTCTTTCCCCAATCTGATGCCACATTCTTTCTGTAATCCAGTTTCCCAGATTATTTGCTAAACATACAGATTAAATAAGTATGGTGAAAGGATACAACCCTGACCCACACCTTCCTTCCCTGATTTTAAACCATGCAATATCCCCTTGTTCTGTTCGAATGACTGCCTCTTGGTTTATGTACAGGTTCTGCATAAGCACAATGAAGTGTTCTGGAATTCTCATGTTTTAAAATGTTATCCATAATTTGTTATGATCCACATACTTAAAGGCCTTTGCATAGTCAATAAAACACACCTAAACATCTCTCTGGTAATCTTTGTGTTTTCAGCCAAGATCCATCAGACATCAGCAGTGATAGCCCTAACTCCACATCCTCTTCTGAATCCAGCTTGCACTTCTGGCAGTTCCCTGTCTATGTACTGCTGCAACTATTTTAAAAATTATTTTCAGCAAAATTTTACTTGTGTGTGATATTAATGATATTGTTCAATAGTCTCTGCATTCTGTTTTATCAAGTTTCTTTGGAATGGGTACAAATATGGATCTCTTCCAGTGAGCTGGCCACGTAGTTTTCTTCCAAATTTGTGAGTGAACATTCCAGTGTTGCATCCATTTGTTGAAACATCTCCATGGGTATTCTATCAATTCCTGGAGCCTTTTTCCTTTTCGCCAATGCCTTCAGTGCAGCTGAAGTTCTTGATCAAATGCTACCTCCTGAAATGGTTAAATGTTGACCAGTTCTTTTTGGCACAGTGACTCTGTATGTTCCTTCCATCTTCTTCTTCTTCTTTTTTATTATTATTGTGATTTGGGTGAAAGTTTACAAAGCAAATTCATTTTCCATACAGTAGTTCATACACATTTTGTTTTATGAATTGATTGCAATCTGCATAATATAACAGCTGTCTTCATACTTCCTCCCTATAGTTACCTTTTTCCTGTGTCCTTCTTTCCTATGCATTCCTGCCCCCTGAGCTATATCCCTATGCAAATTCTGCCCTTCTGATCTCCCATAATTGATTGTTCTAAGGAGTGTACCTACCTGGTGTAAATGTTCACCCTATATGCTTGTCTATTGTTTGGTTGGAAGCCTTGGGATTAAGTTCAATTCCAGGCCTGAAGGGCAACTAGCGGCTAGAGTTTCAGGGGTTTCACCAGTCTCTATTAGACCAATAAGCCTGGTCTTTATGATTTTGAGTTTTGTTCCACATTTTTCTCCCACTCTGTCCAGGATTTCCCACACTGATTTCCTTTCTGAGTGGTTGCCAGTGGTAGCTGGGCACCATCTAGTTCTTCTGTTCTCATGGAAATATAGGCTGAGGATTGCATGGTCCACTACTCCCTTGAATTAATGGTTCCTTTGCTTCTTTGTTTTTCTTCATTCTGCTCTGCTCCAGATGAGGAGAGACCAATTGTCACATCTAGATGGCTACTTGCAAGCTTTTAGGACCCCAGTCACTAGTCACCAAAGTAGCATGTGGAACAATATTTTTGTGTAGTATGTTATCCTTCCATCTTCTTTTGATGCTTCCTGCATCATTCAATATTTTCCCCATAGAGTTCTTCAATACTGCAACTCAAAGTTTGAATTTTTTCTTCAGTTCTTTCAGCTTGAGAAATGCCAAGCATTTTCTTCCATTTTGGTTTTCTAACCCCAGGTCTTTGCACATTTCATTATAATACTTGACTTTGTCTTTTCAACCCACCCTTTGAAATCTCCCGTTCAGCTTTTATACTTCATCATTTCTTCCATTTGCTTTAGCTATTCTTCATTCAGGAGCAAGTTTCAGGTTGTTAATGAGTCTTCTTCCAATTCTAATTGAGAAAGGGGCAAGGAGGCAGCATCTTCTGATGTCCTCTAACTTCATAAGAGGAAGGCAGAATCACCATCAGCAGCCCAAGGCCTGTTCTTAGGAGGCTGCCACCTCCAGCCCTCTTACCAAACTTGACACCAACCATCCCTCCCACAGCACCCACCACCTCTTTGCTGGGTTTGATAAGTCACTGCAGTGGCCACACAGAACTCACAGATTATGAGGTTTATTAGGGAAGCAACAGCTACAATTCAAATTCAGGAACGTGCTCAAGATACAGTTCTTCAGTCAGGACAGTCTCCCCTCTGCTGTGCCCTTAGACACACCTCTCTGGCCCTTGGCCTCTTGGCCTGGCCTCTGCCTCTTTGGGCCAGGTAAGCCTGCCACTCTGTCTCATGCCTCTTGGTTCCACTGCCACCATCTCTCAGCTGGGCATCTCTCTCTCTCAGCCAGGCGTCTCTCTCTCTCAGCTGGCAGTCAGAATCCTTCTGCCTCTAGGAGGGCTCAATTTGAGCCTGGAAGAGTGGCAAAAACAACCAATCCCAACATCAGAGTTCTACACATCTGAGAGAGAGCAAACTTTCCTAGAAGATTACTTCATGCTGCTCCAACAGAAATACCCCAGGTGGATGACTTTAACAATCAGGAGTTTTAAAATTGAATGGTTCCACCCAATAATCCAGTGGGAGTTATGAAGACTATGGCTAGAAAAGCCATACCATGTAATTTACTACACCACACTAATGTTCTTCATATAGTCAGCTTCTCTGTTTGCTCAGCATACAGATTGAATACATATGATAAAAAGATATAACTCTGACACAAACCTTTCCTGATTTTAAACCATGCAGTATCCCTTTGTTCTGTTTGAACAACTGCCTCTTATTCTATGTACAGTTCCTTCATGAGCACAATTAAATGTTCTGGAATTCCCATTCTTTAAAATGTTATCCATAATTTGTTATGAAGTTGAAGTTCTGAAGGATTTCATTTTACTTGGATCCACAATCAACACCCATGGAAGGAGCAGTCAAGAAATCAAATGATTTATTACATTGGGCAAAGCTATCGCAAAAGACCTTTTTAAAGTATTCAAAAGCAAAGATGTCACTTTGAGGACTTTGAGAAGATTGCATCTGACCCAGGCCATGATATTTTCAATCATCTCCTATGCATGCAAAAGCTGGACAGTGAATAAGGAATACCAAAGAAGAATTGATGCCTTTGAATTATGGTGTTGGTGAAGAATATTGAATATACCACAGACTGCCAGAAGAACAAACAAATCTGTCTTGGAAGAAGTACAGCCAGAATGCTCATTAGAAGTGAGGATGGTGGGACTTTGTCTTACGTAGTTTGGACATGTTATCAGAACAGACTAGTCCCTTGAGAAGGGCATCATGCTTGGTAAAATAGAGGGTTAGTGAAAAAGAGGATAACCCTCAGCAAGATGAATTAACACAGTGGTTATAACAATGTGCTGAAACATAGCAACGATTGTGAGGATGGAGTAGGACTGGACAATGTTTCATTCTGTTTTGTGAGGGGTCATTAAGAGTCAGAACTGACTTGAAGGCACTTCACAACTACAACAATCAATGCTATAAAAGAGGTGATAAGAAATGACCACTTTAGATTAGTGCTACTGGAGCTCTGGTGGCATAGTGCCTAAGGCATTTGACTGCTAACCAGAAGGCTGGCAGTTCAAACCTACCAGCCACTCCTTGGAAGGAATGTTGAGCAATCTACTATCTACTTCCATAGTGATACTGCCTCGGAAACCCAAGGAGGGGTCGCTATGAGTCAGATCTGACTCGAGGGCAGTGCGTTGCATTGCGTTGTTCCTCTCAGAGGAAGTCCCATTTAAACTGATATTTGAATGACCATAAGAAGCCAACTAATAGAAGAGTCCAAGAGAATCTACCAAAGCTAAGGCCCTGAGGTGGAAATAAATTTGGTAAATTCTAGGAATAGAGAGGGAAAGGCCAGGGAGCCTAAAGCAGATGAAGTGAGAGGAAGACAGAGGCCAGGTCACACAAAAGAGTTTGGGTTGATTCTGAGTACCTAGGGAGCTGTTGAGGAGCCCTGCTAATGCAGTGGTTAAGCACTTGTTTGGCTGCTAACCAAAAGGTCA